ATAGTCTTGCTTTCCCCAAAGGTATTCTCATCCAGAGTGGAATACCTTTTCGACCTCACTTAGGCCTTACGAATAATCCCAGTGCATGATCTCGACACGGTAACCACTACACCCGCCGGGATCGTCAAAGAGGATGCCCCATGAGACGGGGCGAGATGTACCACGAGGGGAAGGAAGGCGGGCGTAAGGATGTAAGGTCAAGACGTGCTGGCAACTAACAAGTCTTCAGGCAGCTCGTCCAGCCGGCGAATGGCGAAAGCGATCAGGTCGGCCAGAGTGAGCGGCGTGGTGGGCGATTGGCCGAACCGGCCGAGCAAGGGGCAGCCGACGAGACCGGCGGAATCGTCGGCGAGGCGTCGGACCGCCGCCGGTCTGAGGACGGTCTGGAGGGAGCAGCGGTGCGTGGGCCGGCCGGGCGCCGCGGTACCGAGCGAGTCAGCCTCGCAGACGACCAAGTAGGCGAGATGACGGAGCGGGACTCCGCCCTCGGGACACTGGGCGGCGACAGCCATCGCAGCGCGTCTTCGCCGGCCGACGGTCGGCTCGTCGCCGGGCGTCGATGACGACTCGGGCAGGAGATTTGTGAGATCGACGGCGAAACCGGCCGGCCTCGTCTCGTCGAGGCGAATGCAGCCTGAGTCGAGGAGACGCCGTTCCAACCAATCAGCGTCGGCGTCCCCTTCCAGATCGCAACCCGTCGGAGCTGGCTGCGCGGGAAGGTGGCGGGCCACCGCCTTGAAGAGGTCGCCTCGAGTGAAACGAACCAACTGGAGCCCGGTGAAACTGGGCAGAAGACACTCGCTCGTAGTCGGCTGCTCCTCGAGGGGCTCGTCTCTTCGCGCCAGGACCGTGGCCGCCGTCAGCTCCTCCACGGCCTCCGAACTCGCGGCGGCGGGCTCGGTCGGAGCCTGCGAGGGGCCGGCCGAACACGTCTCCTCAACTCGAGCCGCCTGACGCCTCTGTCTAGAGGCTCCGCCTCGAGCCAGAGGCAGGGAGCCTACGAAAAAGTCGCTCAGAGGCCGGTGCTCCTTCCGGCTCCATTTTCCCTCTTCCATGCAGTTATCTTCAGTCTCCTGATGCTCGGCCTGACGTGATGTTCGCCGAGAGGAGTAAAGACGAAAAAGTCAACAAACAAAAGATCAGAGGGTGACCCAAAAAAATAGATCAACTGACCAGCTCAGGCTTCTAAAAGGCCTCAGAATACCAGATTGGACTGAACTCTAAAAGACGCAGAGATGGGTTGACCTCGTTGTTGTAACTTGGTCTTGTTGTCAGGGCGACTTAGTAGAATGCACCTAGTCCGAAGTCGTCTGGCCTAGTGGTTGTCATGGTTACGAGCATCAGACAGTGAACTTGGTACAATCTCAAACATTTCGCCGGCATCGTAGTCGGCATCATCAGTCAGTTTTGTCATTCTCCGCACCAAGCTACGAACTCGTCAAAGAGACAAGTGAAGTTAATCCCTCGACAAGCGTTCTGTCGACAACGGTTACACTATCACTCCTCTTTCTATCCTGACCTATCTATCTACTCTTTATCCTCTTATCCCATTGCCACAGTGGGATCATGACAACTACTATGGCAGAGGACTTCGGACTAGGTGCGTTATACTAAGTCACCCTGACAACTTCTATAAATCGAAAGAAGACTCGACCATACCAGAGGCAACAACATCTTGGTCTTCATATCATCAAATAAAGGACGAAGTTTGGCAGAATATTTTCCCACACATACACACACACACACATACAAATATATAAATACGGACATCGCACTCGAGACGGAATATAAACGTATAGGGATTAGCTGTTACTTCATAACCTGACCTGCGTGTATACATGAAATGTATCCAGTCTATTTCGTTCAAAATTGAATTTTTCCCACAATGCTGTGAGCAGAACTTGCATTTCCATTGACGTTCGTATAGCATTATTTTCCCAAATGCTATTCTCATCCAGGGTGGACTACAGTTTCGACTTATGAACACCCCCAGCCATGCTCGAACCATCACTCTGTGGCGCATGATCTCGACACGGTAACCACTTGGGTCAAATGGCAAATGTGAATTTCAACAAGGGTCAAGCGTTTAACAATACTGAATGCTGTGAGGGGATTG